CTGTGGCGATGCGACACCAGCGTCAACGGCATCGCATCTCCGCTGAGAAATCATTCTTTAACAAGGAAACAAAAGCTGTGCTATGTCCTCTTCATAAGTTTAGCATTCTTTTTCCCCGTGACTGTTTCTCTTAACGCCGAACATTTCGATAAAACATATATAAGTATGAGCCTTATTCCTCGGAGAAAAACCAGGGGAGTAGAGATATAGTTAGGTTGATATTTCGGCAGCGTGCATTTATCGAAACATAGCAGAAGGGAATATTGTTGAATGAAGAGGGTCAAAATAAGTAATAAAAAAACGAAAAAGGCCACCCCATGTTTGCCTAAGAGCGTCCATTTTTCAGACTAGATTATTGAAATCAATTGCTTTAAAAGCTTTAAACATGCCCGCCACAACCTCCAGAGCAAGGACAGCGATGGCCTGGGCTGCAGCATCCATAAAACCGAACGGCGTCGGCCACTGCAAGTTCTATCGGATGGTGGGCGCCGTGTTAATATGGCAGATTAACCTGGACAGATTAATAGCTGCAAAAACACGGAAACCGTGAATTTTACATTCACTCTTCCAGTTCCACTACTGGATCCCAGCACCACTCCGCGGCGCTTTAAGGGCCAATCCATTCTTATCATAAATCTAAAAATCTCACACGTGAAAAATGCACCCAGACTGTCTTCTAAGCATTTGATGTCCTGAGGCGTTCAGAGGCGCTTCTCTCAGAAGCATCATAATTTTCGTCCATCCGTTGGGTACGGCTCAGTATCAGCTGCTGGGCTGACGCTGCGCGGCCTACGGAGAATGCAAAGCGTAGCGCCGAGGTTTTTGTTACTAAGATTTGCGGGTGCACACGCTCAAAACTGCGTCACATAACCTTTGTCACTGATTGTATTAAGTGTTTAAAGGTAATTATTTCAGAAACGCCATCATTTTCGCCCACCGATGGGCCAAGTCCAAAATTGTTGCTTGCAGACAACCTATAGCTCAGAACCTACCGAACCGATCACTGCCATATCTTCACCACTGGACGCTCCATACCTGATCCCTCTCGCAGTTCCAAATTTGGTGACCCTAAGTCGGATCAAAAGTCGTCAAATTTCACCGAGTCCAAAATTCCTGTTTGCAGACCGTTCATAACTCTGAATCTACCATGCCGATAGCTGCCAAGCCTTACCATTCAGTATGCTATCTGCCCTAATTTTCTGTTGAAGCTGCTGGTATGGTGTCATTCATAATTATGTTCTTTCCTTTGTTTGTTCCCAAGAAACAGTGCAGCTTTGTTAGGCCGCCCTCATGAGGTTAAATGTCTCTTTACCGGAGGTGTTGTGCTGAAAATCCTGCGCTGAGTTGTGCATGAAATCACCACGATTAGCATATGCATGGCATCGCCACAACATTCTTGCCATGTATTACTACCAACGGGAAAGGAATGCAAATCCTTCGCAACTCTTACAAGCTATCGAGAAATATTTTGTTCCGACCGAGGCTGCAATTAAGTGTTTCTCCCATGATCAGTGATGGTTTGTTTCGTATGACGGCCACCCAACTCGGTTGTTAAGCGTTCTGGAAGCCAAAATTTTTGCAACTGCTGGTCACAATTCCAAGCAGTTTTCAGCGATACAATCGCAACTCAGCGGAAGTTGTACCGTGCAAATTTGCACGCAATCGCAGACAATTCGCTGATAAGACTGGATTTCCCTGTGACATCACAACGCGAGCAAAACATAGCATCTTCCACTCACAAAACGTGGAGAACGCATCGTGACAGTGACAAAGCTAACAATATGGCGGAGCGGAATCGGCAATAATCACATTGGGAAAGCTGAGGTCCGTTCACGCTCTCTCCAATGCGGGATCTTGAGAACGCTGGCGCCGACCAGACGCGATATACTCGCCCTTCGCTGCTGTACGGAGCGGGGGGGGGGGGGGGGGAGGGCGAGCAGCCGGTTCAGCAAGACCAACACCTACCAAATATTGCCACAAATGGCCGTGGCGCGCCGGCCCTCCCACATGCTTCCTGCGAGAGCGAATGCACAGCAACCTTTAGAGGCGGTTGAGTGCCCCCGCCACAGGCACGCTAAAGGTGACGAGCGGTTGCGCACTTAGTGAAGACCTGTCGTGGACGCCCCCGCATGGCAAGACCTTTCAAGTCACGTACCCGCAGCCAACCCAGTGTGAAACGGTCAGGAGTGCGACTGACAGCCGGGTATGTGCACTGGGCATCGGGTGAACAGCCAGAAACGATCGGCAAGCATGGCGAAGACAGGCGGATCCATCTCAGCGGCTGGGCGTTCTAGGAGCTTTCAGCTGCCGATCGTATCTTTGTCCAGTTTGCAGCTGTAAGCAGTATTCGATTATGCAACAAAGTATTGTATTGTATATAACCTGAGGTATTTGCATGCAAGGTGCTAGATCAGGGATGACTTGTCTGTGAAATCGCAGTAAGCAAATGTTGCCTTGCGCCTTGCGACTAAAATAATTTATCTACATTTGATAGGAGCCTGCGTACACTTAGTCCATCGGTTCACTCCGAACCGGCATAATTGAACAAAAAGAAGAGAACCGTCATGCGTCGTCAGGATTGACGACACCATTAACCAACTGCCTGGCCGCCAAAGTCCGTAGCCGATCGCTGTTTGGCTGCATGTGACGTCACACTCAGTGTAATGCCACGAGACTAAATCGTTTAACAAAATTCCGATAATATCAGCGTTTTTAACGGCAACTAAGGTTAAAACGCGACCGGGTGGCCGGGTGAAGATCCTTTGCTCGGGTGAGGGGTCAGTAAAATCTCTAAAACTTGGATAGCTAGACACCAAATTCACATGCTGTCTTGTTCTGCACGCGAACTCATCTGTGTCAGACTTTTTAGGTTTCTAGGCCATGAGCTTAAGATCAAATAAGGCCAAACAATGTGAGGGATAATGCCAGGTGGTTTGTTCCTACCAACGAAATGCTAACCTGGGTTATTTTAGGTCAGTGACCTACTATAACCTTTCAGAGATCCATGGAGAATGTCAGGTGCGGTCCCTGTCATTAATAAATTCAAAATAAGCGCCAGACTCTACCCTCCAAAACCATACACACGAGTAAAAAAGCAGGTTAGTTTTGACCTTGTTCTGACCTTGCTCTGTCTATGCCTTACCCTAGGTCAATGACATTGGTTATGATTCCAAACTCAATTGGTTTATTGCTTCACAAGCTATTTCAGATGTGTATATGGCTTCGTCGAAAACTCTGTTGTTGTATTACCTTGAACGGTTTCCTAAAAGTGCTCTTCGCTGACAGTCATGGTCAGACATTAACCTACCTGTCATAGTCATAGGTCAGCAGCCTTACGCTGACAGTCATGGTCAGACATTAACCTACCATAGGTCAGCAGCCTTACACTGACAGTCATGGTCAGACATTAACCTACCATAGGTCAGCAGCCTTACACTGACAGTCATGGTCAGACATTAACCCACCATAGGTCAGCAGCCTTACGAGTTGTATTTAACGTTTTTACATCAAACGATCCGCTATTCAATTCTCTACAGCTATTCAAGTTTGGCGCGAATACGCTGCGCTATTTGAACATCATTCTAGAAAAATCTTTGGGTAGGGGTCACTTTGACCCGAACCCAAGAGCGTGTTAACAAAAAACGACGAAAAGCAAACGCAGAAATGGTAACCGGAATTAAAGCGAAAGTACAGGCCACGTCCAGTACAGACTGTTAAATCATGTTTTCCCTTTTCTAACAGTTACTGGGGCTAAAACATCTTTCCACACAAGATACGTAAAATATGCTAGCTGCAAAAACTGCTATTTGGGGTCAAACCTGGGCCCATATATCGGAGACCAGGCGTCACAATGATACGAAACGCAACTAATCATATTTAACCGAAGAGAAACTACAGCCGTACAGTCTGAAGTGTGGAATACCGCGGGTTACCTGTCGACCTCGCGCCGGTCGATCTAGTGCCGATAGTGCCCAGTGTCGACCGTATGCCAATGATTAATCATTAGTCATTGTAGTCATTACGTAAAAATGACTCCCGATGGTAGACCATGGTGTTTTTCTGCGTTTCATGGATTGCTATTAGATGTCGCCAACCAGATTTCATAGGCCGTGGAGCCAACCGTCCAATGTAGGAAAGCACACCGTCGTCTTCGAGTTCCGGGGCCTTCTCAACATTGCCAAAGCCGCAGGTGTGCCAGCCATTGAACAGGGGCGGCCAATGTCGCCTTTGGGAGACTCAGTCTCAAAAATTACACGCTGAGCCTAAACGAGAGAGATCGATTTACGGAAACTGTACGGAGCTGTAGTCTGAGCGACCAAAATCCACTAAACATACGCATTTTTGCAGGGTCCTGCTCACCCTCGTTAAAACGCAAACTAGTAAACATTCGGAAATAAGTAAGGCTCGGCCAGGGGCAAAGTTAACCAATATTCGAGCAATTTATTGTGGATTACCGCGCGAACGCCCCTCGGTGTGTACCGTTGTCTGTCGAGCCTTTATAAAGGACGGGCGACAGGGCATTTATAAGACCATAAAGGTCGACCGACAAAGCCAGGAAGGCCATAACTCTTCTGTGTTCCGTAAAATATTAGCATGAGTCACTCGACGTTGGATAGAAAGAGGCTACTTCAAGGCGTGATAAGAGTCATCCACTTTTTGTGACGTACCCACGTTCCCGGATGTCAAACCCGTTGCAATGGGTTTTCAAAGGCACAGATCCGCTTAGTTTTGTCATCATCTACATTACGCTAACTCTCGTTTCTCCCATTATCTTGTTTGTACCTCTCCGCACAAGGCGTAATGCTAGTAAACACAATGCCCCGCGCAACGTTCCGATTTTTCTGGTCGCATGGGCATGCTCACAAGTACTTGTGCAAATCCAGTGACCTTACCAACCCACTGCAAGGCTGCAAGTCACGCATACGCAGCGCCGCCCCCCCCCCCCCCTCCCCCGCAACTGACTCTCCTCCCGGTCCTTGCGCGGGCGGGCGCCCACTCACCGATGGGGTCAACACGCGCCCCGTGCTCGACAAAGTCCAGCGCGCTCAGGTAGAGCCTGATCTGACCGTCGGGCGACGACGCCTCGAACACCCTGGCGCAGTCTGCCATGGCGGCCTGGCGAACCCCGCCTGCGGAGCCGACTGCCGCCGCCGCCGACGGCCGTCCGTCCCCGCTGTCGGCGGCGGCGGCGGCGGCGCGCGGCGGCAGAGCGCCTGGCGCTCGCTCGGCCGACCGTCAGGGGCCGTGCCGCGGCGGGGTGCGTGGGAGGGGTGACCGCACCTGGGCCCGCTGCCAGCGCCGGACACGCACTCCCGCTGTGAAATCGTTGTTTGCTGGCGCCAGCGGCTGGGGGCTGGCGCCAGCGGCTGGGTGCCTAGAACATTTTATAGATTAGTTGAACTGGTCTGAAGTTTTTTTGTTGGGTAGGTGCCGTTCTTCACTATTGCGTTACAATTTAGTACTCCATGCTTAAATGATACAGAACGTACATCTTATTGCGATATGTAGAAATAAAAGCATCAAGCAAATGCCTATACTAGGCTTTAGCCGAACCATGCCGGTCAGGAAGAGCACTTTCTAAAAATGATTGAAGGGGCTCCAATAGCAGTTTAGAATTTTAGTTATGTTTCCCACGCATCATTGTGTGCAAAACGTTGCAGTTCTGAAATTGTTGGGAGGGCGGGGGGGGGGGGGGAGTCCAGCACACATAAGAATGTTACGTGGCACCCCCGTTACCATGGCTGTAGACTGGTAGACATATGGTAAGCACTGATGCCACTACGTTTTAGCATCAGGTTGAACAGCGAATTTCACAAGCCTAGTCTTAACCGTCAACACGTTTTGGCCAACCACACAAACATACACAACCACGCAAAAGATTCAACCACAATCCGCAGACCTTTGATGAACTTGCCTGCCGATGACATGGCGGGGGGGGGAGGGGCACGATGGAAGCAATTTTTTCCACAGCTGTACCCTATTCCAAGCACATGTCTTGGACAGTGACCCAATCGCGACCAGCCAAAGGCCAAGGTTTCCGGTGCGGCTGGCCGGCGAGCAGCGCGTAAGAGCGCCCGGCGGAGACGTGTCTGTGCGGGTGACAGCGGGGAGGAGGCCGCGGCGTGTCCATGCGGGCGGCAGCGGGGAGAAGGTGGCGGCGTGTCCATGCGGATGACAGCAGGGAAAAGGCGGCCGCGTGTCCATGCGGGTGACAGCGAGGAGAAGACGGCGTGTCTGTGCGGGCGACAGCGGGGAGAAGACGGCGGCGTGCCTATGCGGGCGACAGCGGGGAGAAGGCGGCGGCGTGTCTGTGCGGGTGACAGCGGGGAGAGGACGGCGGCGTGTCCATGCGGGCGACAGCGGGGAGAAGGCGGCGTGTCTGTGCGAGGGACAGCGGGCAAAGGGCTGCGGCGTGTCCATGCGGGCGACAGCGGGGAGAAGGCGGCGGCGTGTCTGTGCGAGGGACAGCGGGCAGAAGGCGGCGGCGCGTCTGTGCGGGCGACAGCGGGGAGAAGGCGGCGGCATGTCTGTGCGAGGGACAGCGGGCAGAAGGCGGCGACGTGTCTGTGCAGACAGGAGCGCAGGCAGGGGGGGGGGGGCGAACACAGAAGGCACGTGCCCCTTAGGTTCCGAGGGGCCTGAAGGGCCACTCAGAACCTGTGATTAAGGGCCCGGAAAGCCAACCAGAGGTCTCATTCAGGGGCTCCGGCCCACAGGGCCGGGCACTCAAATGCTAGCCAGAGGGCTCTACGCGCTGATCTGGGGCCCACTGAGTCGATAAGAGCCTATATTTCGGTCAGACGCCACCAGTAACGCACAGTCGGCTCCGCAGCGGCATGGGCTTAAGGGCCCATTTCCCAAGAAGGGACAAAGCTGGAGCCAGCGATTTATATTGCCCGGGGCCCCATAGCCCCTTACAAGGCCCTGTGTTGCAAAGGGGCCCGATTCGGACAGAAACAGCGTTCGAGGAGGTCCGAACAGCGTAAAGGACCCACCCAGTCCGACAATCAAGGGCACAATTGGAGGGTCGAAGGGCATGAAGGGCTGGTCGGAGTGTTATTCAGGGCCAGCTGTCTGCAAAGACGGACCCTCAAATAACGATCGGGGGGCCCTTTGTGTCGATCGGAGGCCCCTGAGTCCATATGCGCCTATATGTCGGTCAGATACCACCATACCGCATAGTCGGTTCCGTGTCGGTTTGGACCTGAGGACCCACTTCCCAACCACTTCCCAACCAGTAAAGCCGGGGCCAGTGATTTACACCGGTCGGGGGTCTTGTTCTGTCAGGAGCCCGCAGCGCCTGTGCTCGCAAGGGCCCGAGCAGACCAAAGGAAGCGCCTGATGAGGCCCGAAGAGAGGCCCGGGCGGTCTACTGGACCCGACAATCGAAGGCTCGGTTGGAAGGCATACTGGCCCGATCGACTGGCTGAAGGTCACATAAAGAATCACAGCCCGTAGGGTCATGACCTGTAATATCATTCGGAGGTCCTCTCTTTCCCCTTTTAGGAAACCCTGAGACAGTGCGAATGTTTAAGTCGATCAGAAACCGCGAACACCGAACAGTCGGCGCCATGTCCGTCTGAGCCCTTGAGACTCATTTCCCAAGCAGACACGAGAACGGGATCCGATTTAAAAATGTTCGGGGTCCCTGACACAGATAGGGGCTCCTGCGTCGGTAAGGGGCCACGGTGCCGAACAGGGGTCCTGTGGCGGCAAGTGGCCTCGAATCAGAGCGGTGTTTGAGGAGGCCCGAAGAGGTACCAAAGGGTCTCTCGAGACCAAATATGAGGGGCCCGATGGGATGGCTAAGGGTCCGAAGGGGTGGCGGTAGGTCACCTCAAGGACCCCGCACATAGGGCTGTGGTCTCAAATGTCAGTAAGATGAACCCTTGCACCGATAGATACCCCTGAGACAGGGTGTTCCCCTATTTCGTCCAGAGATCACAAACAACGAACAGTCAGCTCCGTGTTGTTCTGAGCTCTGGGAGTCCATTTCCCAAGCAGTGACAAGCACAGGCCCGCGATTTACATCGGTCGAGCTCCTGTATCGTTCAGTGGCCCACAGTGCCTAAAAGGGCATTCTGTGTCAACAGGGGGCCTAGAATCAGTCAGGGAACATTTGTTCAGCAGAGGTGGGGACGAGAGCCCGAATGGCAGAGGGTCTCTTGCGTTGGCCGGGGCTCTCTGACAGTTGAAGGAAATAATTGAAGGCCATTTTTGCCTTATTAAACCCCCAGTTGCCCGTTCTTTGTTTTATGGCGTAGCTCAATAGTAATAAGCCTATAAATCTCAATAGTGATAAATCTAAGCCATTGCAGTTTCACCATCTCACCATGTTACATTATCCTGCCGCAGAGGATAAAAGCAGGATAATGTATCCTTACATTATCCTGCCTTGGGACAGGCCTGGCGCAGCTAATACAAAATTGTTTGGTAGCCTTAATCGGCCTTTCGAAAATGTTTTCTCATGCAGGCCTCATCTTACTTACTTCGCATCTTAATCTTGTAGGTTGGTGAGCATGATTGATAGGTATGTTTTGTGGGCGGGTTGGACGATCCTGTCCGCCAGCAAACCATTCAAAGGATATTGATTTTTTATGTGGGGTAGCAGACGGAAGCCTACCGTGAAACAGCGAGTGAGTTTCTCCTGTGAACACTTAATTGTTGACCCTACCCTGTTTTCATCATATGATTTGCAACCAGATGTGGTCATTTTATGTTTTAGTCCATCGAGTTTTGTTCATAAGACAGATTCTGATGCCACGAGACACATAATCAACTTATTTTCCCATTCTCCTGACCATTTGCCCCAAATTTACTGAAGTGGTCCCTCAAGTCTGCTCTAACAAGATGTTGTCCATAGTTGTCATGTTTTGCTGACTGGCAAATGACTGCACTGTAGAAATGCACTATATTTCTTAACACAGGAATACTACAAGCTGCTTAGCAATCACAATATGAGGTGGATATCGGGTTTCAGTAAATAGTCAGACAGTCCCTTTTCATTGCAAAGCCAACATTTCAAATTTAAAGTTATTAAATGGAAAAAGCCAAACCTAAGGGGCTGTTTTTGCCGCAGCTGAGAAGGCAAGCAGCAAGACTGGTTTTGTAGCCATCTATAAGTTATGTTAGTATGTTATGCTTGGAGGAGAAAGATCGCTTGCGGAGAATATCCACTATCGTCCCTGACAGACTAATCATGACAATGAGAATAAGCTGTTCAAACTGCTGTTGTCAAGGAAAAAGTGAGGTGAGTTGAGATGACGATCAGCATATAGTCTTCCCTAAGTTCGGCTAAGCTGGCTAATTGCATGGCAAGTGGCACTAGGAATTTTGCGAGAATTATTAACTCACAAATGTTGCTGTGATACAGATAGGTTAGGCAGGATGCGATAAAGTAAGATTTCTTTAGGCTAGGTTTGGTAAGGCTGCTTTCATGGAAATAAGCATTCCCGACCCCATCTTAACAGCAGCCATCGGTATATATATATATATATATATATATATATATATATATATATTTGATTTGGGGATGCGTCAACGTGAAGGAGTTTTAAGACTTTTGCCTGAATGCCTTATGCTTGTTGAAGTTTTTGTTGTTGTTTTGTTGTTTGATTTCTTTCCTTTGTTTTGTGTTAAAAATCCTTTGGAAGGTGAGTGCAAAGTGCAGCATCAAAGCACATAGTCTTTGGTGCGTATCACACTATTATGACATTGCTTTTCTTTCGTAAATTCTGTTTCAGTGAAAGGACCTAGGATGTTAAAAACGAGAACTTCTTTGTCATGTTCATGATGTTACGTCCATGCCAACTTGAAATGTATGTCTCTGTTTCCTGGAGCATCTCTCACTGACTCATAGATTCCAACGTTCGTGAGTTGAATTTTTCACTCCCGTACGGTCTTTTTGCCTTGGAATTTTTCACTTCCAACACAGTTCAAAAGTGATTCTACCTCACTGCTTTGGCCTGATTTTTGCGTGATCGTGACGTTCATCCTACTTTAAAGTTTCAGAGAAGTTGGACATTACTCTTTCTAAGGGTTTTAGTGTAATGCGTTCATATAAAGGCATGCCAACCTTTCGTGACTTTGGACATGACAAACTTTCCATATTGAC